TTCGTCCTATTGTGGGACTTCTTAGCAGTGCGCATCTACGATACTTTATTTTGGTTGTATCTCCTATGGATTTGATTTTTGGTCCTATATTCATCCATAGTTTTTTGATTGGTTGATAAATTAGATCGATTTCAATGTGTTTTAGCAGTTTAGCGATCCTCATAGAATATTCAAAAATGAGCAATATTTGAGCGAACAATTGTTTTCAATAACTTCATCATCAGGCTCTACAGTTATAAGTCCATAATTATGGTACTTTACAAAGGCTAAAATGAGGCATGTATTGATTAATTTGACAATGTTATATGTTAGAAATAGTTAACTTTTGCATCTGTTACGACATATATACTGGAGTAGCAATGGGATCACTTCAAGGCCCCATCCTTGCTAGTATTTTTCTGGCCAAACTAGAAAACGAACCCTTAAAAGACATTCAAAGTAAGCTAGACTATTACTGTCGATACATAGATGACACACTAATAGTATGTGACGAAATTATTGCCGAACAATAGATGTTGGACTTTTTCAATAACGTCCACCCAGCTATTAAATTCACCAGCGAGGAAGAGAAAAACAATAGTATAGCTTTCCTTGACGTCCTATTTTCTAGAAGGAGAGACGGTTCCATAAAACGAAATATATTTAGAAAGAATACATCGATGGGTCAGTATACCCATTTCCAAAGCTTCACACCTCTTCATTATAAAATAAATTCGGTTAAATGTCTCAGCCATAGAACCAAGCTATTATGTTCTGAGGACAGTGTCGATAGTGAAATAGATATACTAAAAAACACATCGCGAAATAATGGTTATCCAGATAATTTTGTTAAAAAATACCCAGTAGAAAATATTAATAAAAAAAGAATTTGTGACACAGTGAGTAAAAAAACCATGTATCTGGGACTGGACTTCAATTGTGACATAGCGGGTGATATTCTAACACATCGACTGAAAAGATCTGTTGAAAGGACGTTTCACGCCGCCAAGCTACATATAATTTTCTCAACTAAACCAGTACTTACACGACTAATCAAGGATAGGTTACCGAAGATGGGCTCTTCCATGTGTGTACAACAATTCAACTGTTCCTATGGAGCTAGTTACATAGGCTGTACTCAAAAGGCTTTATCCTTGCGTATTCGTGAACATGTACCAGCCTGGTTAGGAAAAGGAGTCACTAAATCCATTAACAGCACCATTCTTTCTCACCTGGTAGATAGTGAACATCATATCCAAATAGAGGAAACTTTCTCTGTTCTATATCAAGTTCTGAAAAATCTACCTCAAGGAGCTAAATTACGGTTACTCTGCATAGCCGAAGCCATCTGGATCAACTCCAGAAAACCAAACTTATGTATCCAGAAGAGGTATATCCAGCCTCTATGTTTACCTTGGCCTACAACTGGATCACCAGATATCTAAACTGAATATTATAGACCTCTTCCCCCCTTTTTTCTTATTTAATCACCTCTATCTTAATCTTCACATTCATCATTCCCAATTCGTAATTACCTTGATAACACCCCTCTTATTACGTATTATATTCACACAACAATCTTATAATTATTACTATTTGTCATTATTATCTCAATTGACAAGATGAAATTCTCCTGCTCTGAATTTTATTGATACGATTTTTTGCGTTTTCATTCTTGCTATATTACTATTGTACTGATTGCGACTAGATATTTCACTGCAAATCATTTTGACCTTTATTAAATGACCTTTCTAATTTACAAATAACAATGTTGAAGTACATATGTCGTAACAGATGCAAAAGTTAACTATTTCTAACATATAACATTGTCAAATTAATCAATACATGCCTCATTTTAGCCTTTGTAAAGTACCATAATTATGGACTTATAACTGTAGAGCCTGATGATGAAGTTATTGAAAACAATTGTTCGCTCAAATATTGCTCATTTTTGAATACTCAATGTGTTTTATGATTGCTATCTGACCTGAGTGCCAAGCTTCTAAAAATTTTCTGAAGTTTTTAGAATTGCCTCTATCCAAGATCTCAACATTTTTCCTGTCGGATTTATTGAGATCTTGGATAGAGGCAATTCTAAAAACTTCAGAGAATTTTTAGTAACTTGGCACTCAGGTCAGTTAGCAATCAACAAACACATTGAAATCGACCCAATTTATCAACCAATCAAAAAAACTAAGGACGAATATAGGACCAAAAATCAAATCCATAGGAGATACAACCAAAATAAAGTAAACAATGATAAGTTATAGGTTAGCAATAATCAATTAACATCAATGTCTACGTGACAAGCTGCGAGCCATATGTGGAGAAATTCAAACACCTCACTTCTACCCAAAGTTTGTGCTGATGATGTCATTCAGAATAACGATGGAAGCTCCACGACCAAACCATCCAACTCAGAGAACAAAACTCCATCAAAATAGTTTATGTAATCAAGATGAAGTTGACCTTGTAATAGATCAACTAGCATACTTTATAGACAATAAACAATAGAGCAAACTGAAAAATAACTATCAACAAAATGAAACAAAAACATATTATAAGCGAGTTTTCAATTACTAAGATAATTCAAAGTGAATATTTCTGTGCAACTATGACCGACATGACAAAATCTCACATAAAACAACCGTTTGGTTATTATTATTTTAATATTTCGTAGATAACAGCCAAAGATTTCAATACTCACAAACACAGTTTTAGATTTTAATATCGTTTTCTCTCCTCCTAACAAACTATGCATTGCTATATTTTATTTCTGAAAAATCAACCGAATAATTTGTAAATGAAAGGCACCTACTTTGCTCTTGATTTAAATAGTAAGATTCACAGTTTTGGTAAGGGTGATAGGTCAAAATGAATTGGATCCATTTCTTTTGTAGATTGTCAAAAGAATGTTTGAATCATGCACCATCCGTTGTGTCTTGCATTAGCATAAAAATGTCCCTTTGAGCTTACTTATTTTGTAACAGTACAACCTTACTTAATACATACATACAAAGCAAGATGAAAAAGAATCGTCTCTGAAGTACCATGGTTGAATGAAATTCATTTTCTCATCATTTTCAAAACTGATACTTGCGTACAAGAAGGTATCTTCATTAAACTGAAGTACAGGTAAATGAAAAAATATGCTCATTTGTGCACTACAAACAGGATGTATTACTTATTGCATATTGGTCGTAAATAACGACTGCAGATTCCAAGTAATTTGTAATTCACCAAATGATAAGAACATCAAAATACTTTTGAAATTATCGTATAACGTCGGAAACATCGATGAACTAATCAGCTTTTATTGATAAGGAAAATAAATTTCCTAACAAGTAAAATAACGCCATTTAAGTTATACAATGAATAAAAATCTGTTCAGATGACCTTCATTTATGGTTCTCATATTTTTTATGACAGCCTATTAGAAAGTCTGTCGTCGAAAAAATTTACAAATTATTAAATACCAATATATCTTTCATGAACATGCATTTCGGCTTCTCCATTTAATCAAATATGCTTATTTACTGAAACTTGCGGTATGATTATTGGTGAGTCATCACAAACATTATGCCAACAGAACATCTAAAATAGAGTACAATTGCAAATATTCATACTAATTTATATGTCCATATTTTCAGCTGTAAGACTTGAAACAGATATATTCAAACACTTGAAACTACTTAGTGGTTCTGAGCAGGAAATTTTCAATGTTTAATTTGATGCATCTTGTTACGGAGATACATATTCTTATAGTCCGTCTGGAGTTACACTTTTGTGCTTGACAGTTAATAATGCAACCAAGTTGGCAAAACTAAACTAGACAGAACTATGATTCAAGCCCGAAACTTACATGACAATAAGTTTTAATCATTAAAAACATTGGATTATTGATTAAAAAAGACGTATAGCTTTTCCAAATCTACAAGTATATTCTCATAATAATAGTAATAATTACAATAATTTTATTATTTAACTTTTACTTAGCCTATCACTTTACAATAGTCAGATATGTCATTTTGTGCAAATAATCTGAGCTATAGTGCATTCTGATTGACTTTGTTTTTACAAAAGACTTTTCTCCTTTTGTAAATTAAGTATGAAAACCAAAAATCAAAATGAAGAAAGAAACAACTAATCAGCTGATGAAGAAAATACAACAAAAGAAAGTAATATTTATTCTATGCCACAGATTAAGTAACCAAATTTGATAAGATTGTCAACTACGTCCTCATGTCACGATTTAGTTAAGTTCGAAAGTAATAAAGATAATTAAAAAAATACATTAAATTAACCATATACAGAAAGAATAAGTGAATATCAATTATTTTGTAAAAAAGAAACATATACACACCCACAGTTGAAAAATTGGTAACTAATAACAATAAAACATAAAAATTATTTTTTTGTTTTTCAAATAAGGAGTTAAAAATAACTAATTTAAAAAAAATTTTTTGCGGGAAATGTAAAAGAGTCACATTCTCGATTTGTAATCTGGATTCATCTATTATGTTTTATTTATTTAGTTTCCTTTTTGTTTTATACAAATTTCTCAAGGATATACGTTTTCCTTTTCTTTTTTTTATTCATACATAGAAATTATAACAATACTGTTTGACAAAATAATAAGTTTCTTTCTAGAAATAACTTGATTCATGGTATTTTAGTTGTGTGTTTTTTTATTTCCTAAGAATAAAAATTAGAAATCATAATTATCTTTTAATGAAAGACTGGGTACACAGTAAAGTAATGTTTGACATGGAAACAATGACAGAGAATAATGTAATAAGGAAGTTAAACATTGATTTACTGTTATAAGTTTCGCGAAATCTAATGGATATAGATAATCATTAACCATAAAAACGAAAATAATAATAAATGCTGCATTACAATGTTCTTATAGTTGAAAGTATCAAAGACAATATATTGAGAACATTTTGAGATCATTATGAAAAGTGATATGAAAGTTTGATTAATTCTCTTGATTGTTTATGAAAATAGGGTATATTTATTTAATTGTATAATTCTTTAATTTTTGTAATTCTTGGCAATTCTAACTTTTTCATATCGATAAATTTATTATTTTGATTTATATTGTCCTTATTATTATTATTATTCTTTTTATCATATAAGTCAATTGGATTTTTTTCATTCATTGATTGTTTAAATTCATTATGCTTTTTTTCTAAATCATTTCGATAATCTAATCGACGTTTTTCAAATTCTTCTGATAAATTTGGTAGACCAGAACCAAATACCCATGGATGAGCTAATGTTTCACGAGCTGTTAATCTTGATTTTGGTGTAATCACTAAAAGTGCAGTGATTAAATCTTTGGCGTCTTCATAAAAATAAGATTGAATATCAATAGTATGTAGAGTGCGAATGAGAGAAAGAGGGAGAGAGAGATGAAGAAACAAAACAAAAAGTTATTGCCAAAGTAAATAATGAATTATTTAACAAGGTAGTTATACCATTTAGTAATGTAATGACACTATCTAATATTTTATAAATGTCTCCGTTTGTCTTGATTAAAAATAATTTTCTCATTAGATATTCACTCTTAATAACTTTATAAATGATTAATGAATATGTAATATTAATCTTAAACATTAGATACATCTGATGCATTTACAAAGTTAATTTGAAGACTAGTTTTTTTTTAATTTAAAAGTTTCCTTTACAAATCACTTAAAGTCAATGCACTCTAATGACATAACAGTTTTCTTTTATATAATATTTGGACTCTAAACTATATTGCATACAGATAAACAAATTATCACTATGCACTTTAGTTCAAGTACGAATTATGGTAGATTAGATTACTTAAAAGAAATACAAACACTAATTATAGGTTTTGACTAAATTCAGTAACCTGATTTTTAATAGCTCAAAAATATACGAATATTTTGAGTTAAAAAATTAAAAATTTTATAATTTTACTAAATTTTACTCATATAGATGTGTATAATACTTTTATATATGTTACCAAGCTGAATCTTTTCAGGGAATTTCTGCTAGAAATATTAATGAACTCAAACAGAAACAGTAAACATATTTACGCAAAATATTGATATTTCCTTACTATATCGATATCGAATGAGAGTTTTATATGTCCTGGAAAAACTAATGCGGAAATCAAATAAATAAATTAGTCGCTGAAAAATCCCTATAATATTAAAACACAATTATATGAACAAAGAATATTCTTAAGCAAAGATAGATAGTGGCTAGCAGTGGAATCCAGGACGCGCGTTTCAACCTATTTGGGACTCGCCAGATGGATGTACCTGAATCTCAGAGTTGATGTTCACTCTTGGACTCGAACCCAGTACCTTTCACTTCGAATGCCATCGCGTTATCCACTCGGCTACTGAGTCCTGATAGCCACTTGCTTGTGTGATGAGAAAGAATATTCTTTTCAATAATTTCTCATCAGGTTCTACAATTAGTTAATTAATAATCCATAAAAAATTGTCATCCAAACGAGATATGTCCAGCCGCTCCTTTTTACCCTGGCCAACTTAAGGATCAACTTGTTAATAATCAATTTTATAATATGGTGACATTAATTTGATTAATGTTCATTTTTATATCCTAAACTTATTTTATCTACACATCTTATCAGTCATTATTATTATTATCATACTTGCTAACCTTTTAGAGAAATTTATTCAGCATCCACCCCTATTTACTATATCTGATCTAATTCATATTATTCTACATATTACGTAATTTTTGATTTATAACCCCATTATTCACTCTTACCCCATGTCAACTATATATATTCTGATCGTTTATCTTACGATTTTATTTCACTTATAAACTAATTCAAGTTAACATTTCACATTAGTCAGTTCCAAGATTAACGATTCGATTTTATTTTGTTTCATGTAACAAACAATCCTTAATTCACATGTTACAGTTTCTTAAATGATGTACTCTGTCTTAAACTTGGCCAATCTTCTTTTATGGATTATTAATATGGATTTATAAGTGTAGAACCTAATGAGAAATTATTAAAAAGAATATTCTTCGTTCATATAATTGTGTTTAAATAAATTAATCCCTTAATCAATTAAATGTATACCATATTTTAAATGTACAAGTATATCGAATACTTCAAATGATAGGGGACTTTATGTCCAGTGCGAAATTACTCATAATAAATTAAGTTAGTTAAGATTTAAGAAAAAAATATACATTTTTATAACTGACTGTAATATATATAATTTTCTGTTTTATTTTTATTTTGCCCTCTGAAATCTATTATCAGTTTGTATAAATTTACTTCTACAGTTTATTAAAGTGATCATTTATATTATGATAATTGCTTTCACTACAAGGACCAAGCAGTTATGCAGTGTAGAAGATTTGTAGTTCAGGTGGACGATTTTGATACAGTTTTGTTCTCTGAGCTGGATGGTTTGGTCGTGGAGCTTTCATTGTTCTTATGAACGATATCATCAGCACAAACTTCTGGTGAAATTGTTCAGTGTCCATTAGTTTTAACTGATTGCATTTGTGTTAAAAAAATAAATTACAGTTATGCTAATATTCCAAAAACAACTGTGTTTATTATTTGACCTACCACATATTTTATTATCATCTTACAATTTTAAAGGGAATGCATATTGATTTTTCGTTTGTTTTTCTTTGCCAAATCAAATAATGTTCACTTTAAGTATTACAAATATTACTGATGAACATTATTTGAAGTCAATATTACAATTTGTTCGATAGATCGGGGAAAGTTCATATCGAATAAACAATTATGTTCCTTTTCCTATGATAATCTTCATTTGAATAAAGTAATTTTTAGTTTGGATCGTTCAGGAATATCTATCTATCTTGATGTATTGGTTATATAATTTTTGTTTTAGAACTAATTCATTTCACATAATTATTTTACTGGACTACATTTCTTCGACCACATGTAATAATGACCTCTCGAAAGTGATTATCTGCTTCAAATTAGAACAAAATAATTCATGCTTTTCGTTGGTGGCTACTTTGTAAGCATACTTACTTTGTGACTACCTCTTACGCCATTTTATGTTCATGGTTACGTTCAAACCTCATTTTTCAAATCACAATTTAATCCACTGAATAAGAATACAAACTACAAAATATACATTGCAAAAAATATCTGTAATCTTATGATATGAAGCAACAATTTTTTTCGCAGTAATTTCTATCACAATCGATCGTAGCTATGGAATTCTAATTTATGTTAAATAGTTTTCATGAATCACCTAATTGCAAAAAATCTGCAAATTTTAGCGAAAATCATACAATGCCCAACTAGAACGATGATTATTTGAAAACAAGGAACTTACGTGATGATATATTATCCCAATAGGGACTCAGGAATACAAAACGACCTCGTTTTATACTTTCAAATAACTTTGACTGTCTTCGATCAGTACTACGAAATGGAGCAAATCCACATAACATAATATAAGTTATAATCCCCAATGCCCACATATCCACTTCAAGACCATAACCTAACGTTTTTGAGGAATGAGCAAAAATTTACAACAGTAAAATTATAATGCTAATAGTGTGCTTAAATATCCGTTACACTTAGAGCTTCCTCGCGATTCTCCAGCAATTAATATTCCTTTAGCAGAGCTTGTAATAAATCAGACTATTATTTACATAGATATTGAATTACGGTCAATGATACCATCAACACTGACTGAATTTATTTAGTACAATAGCTAAACAACTGCTTTATTTTTAAAGGGTATTTTGAATAGCATTAGTAAGCAAGAAAGTCAGGGAAGCATAATCAGTTATGATGCTCCATATTCGTTTATCTTAACATAAACAAATCTAGGTATCAACTATTTGAATAGGAGTAATTTTTAAAAAATTATAAATATGAAAATATTGGTGTTCATAAGTTTTGTCAGCTACATGAATTAACTTCGAAGCTTTCACTATTGTTCTTAGTAAAATCCTCAGACTTAACTCAAAATAGAATGAAACATTTCAATATTACTATAATATTATCAAAGTAAACCGCTCCACTAACATGGTAGGGAGAGATGGATAGTGGCTAGCAGTGGAATCCAGGACGCGCGTTTCGTCCTATTTGGGACTCGTCAGCTGGATGTACCTGCATCTCAGAGTTGATGTTCACTCTGGAACTCGAACCCAGTACCCTCGCTTCAAACGCCATCGTCATCTCTGCTTACCATGCTTGTGAATTAAGGCTATATTGAGGCAATACGCACAGTATGCACATATGCCAATTAGAGACTGACCAGTTGCAGTCCTAACAGATCGATGGGAAGATTCAAACAAACAATACTGAATGAATCGCTCCACTAACGTTTTTGGTGACGAGTCATACAAGAAGGTTCTGTGATGCTCATATACATTTGAATTTCTACTCAATCTTTTGTATGGTTTATCTTTGAACATCTGGTTGTTTGATCTTCATTGTGTGGATCAATATATCTAATTTAAATTAAGAAATCTTTTAGTTTTTGGATTATGCTGAAATATAGTACTTGTACTCTGTGTAATCCATGTAGCCCCCACAAAATGAATGTTTGGTAAGTGATATGTTAAGGTTTAACGGAAGTTTTTGCAGAATTCGATTATCATGACTACATAGCTTGATAAAGAGTAATTCAAACAAAATGGAAATTAGGTACGCTGAATAATTGAATAGAATGATTATAATTCTATAGCCAGAAATATTAAAATCATTATCAAATAGATAAGAACAAGGGTTAATTTATAAATTGAAAGTCGAATTTAAGTGAAAGAGAAAATGAATAAACCTATCTTCAGATGGTAGAGAGGGTTTAAAATAGTCGATGCAATACCTACATCCAGCTTCTGAATATTAATTCAAAAACTTTATGCTACCTCGACTTTCTACCTAATTATATATTATTAAGTCGTACTAAGTATCGGAAATACGGATTTCTCGTATAGAACTTGTTAGAAAATCTCAGAAGTATTTTCTCTATTTCTCAGTGTACTGATGTTTGTATTTATATAGACTAAGTAGAAACACTGTTAAGACTAGTAAAATCTAGAAATCTAACCACCTTTCTGTGTGAGACATGATATTCGAAGTGCTAAACCTAAACTATTTCATACTTATTTTGACTTATAATTTCTGTAGACGACGTCATCATTTACAACAGTAATAGTTTGTACTACCATGTATGCCGACTGAGTGGATGGAATTTAAACGTTTATAAACCCAATGTATATTCATTTCTGTTTACTGGTAAAATTGGAATGCTTTTTACGCATACAATCGAATTAACTTAAAGAACTAAGTGTTACTTTCAATTTCTTGTATAAAATCCAGCCTGATAAAGTTAGTTCAATAACACTAAGATTTCATATTCCATTACATTCGAACTGGATCTTTTGAGAAAACTCGTTTGTAATGTCAATAATGTATAATATTTTGTTATTCAGAATCGTTTAATGTATATCTCTTTGGTATGTTTATTTAACATCTCAGGTTTTAGGGTACATGGTTCAATAAAACAAATAAAATACACAAATAGGTTTGTGTTTAGTTGCTGCCATGAGCACTTTATGTTTACTGTCGTCTATTCTTATACAATACGAACAAATATTTGAATGTAAATCTATATGGATTTAGAACTGAAGGATTAGTGGTAACTTCTTAGTTGGTTCGTGGTATTTAGAGAATAGTTAAATTTAAACAAGTTATTTACGTATGAAAATAATATCATGAAAAAAATATTCAAAACGAGAAAGGGTTAAAAAGTTATGACCACCTGTGACACGATACATGGTCGAATCCAAGACCTACGATTCTCAGAATAAACAAGATGTATTCAAATCATCAAGCTGAGGTTCTATAGTTTATATTTTTAAGTTAAATAACTATAACAATATAACTGATATAATCAACCAGCATTATATCACAAATGAATTTCGATAAGCGATTACAAATGAGTGTAGAACAGTTTTTAGTTATTTGTGATTTTAAAATGATTTGCAACTTTCATATATGAAAAACCTATCTTCACGTGAGCAATAATTTTCGACAGAAAACTGGTTATCTAATGATGCGCTTAGTGCATAAATGCTGCACTTATTAGAGCATGTTAATCTCATTAAAACAATATTATCTCATATTTTACACTATTTCAAATAATCAGAAGGGGATTTTGTGGAGATTTTAGTAATTTTACATAGTTCAGATCATGAGTCAATAGAAGTTAGACCACCATGGAAAACCTGAAAGCACTAGACGGCCGTCTCGTCCTATTGTGGGACTCCTCAGCAGTGCACATCCACGATTTTATGTTTAACTATAGTTTTTGTTGAAAATCTACAAGTATTTACCGTTAAGCTAATATATTCAGTCATATAGACCATCCAAAATCTGAACTCATATCAGATAGTTACTTAAATTATCATCAAATTAATTATTTATAACAACTCATGATTAATTCTCATTTTATCTATTACTATTCAGGTGGTCTATTTCACTATTTTCTCCTAAATCGTACTAAGATTTGCAATGAATTTCACTACATTTTTTCTTGTTTTCTGTTTTTCAGCTTGTAGGTTTTCTTTTCCAAATCCAGTTAGTACACATTTTTTTACAGATTTTACCATTTGGGATACAGACTCACATTTTGTCTGTCTTTTTTTCTTCTTGTTGTATATATATATATATATATATATATATATGTATATCCAGAAGTAACTAGTCTTCCGCTTTACTCAGAAGTATTTCATAATCCTCAGCTATTTTAAGTCATGCTTATTTTTATTCATTTGATGTAACAAATAGTTTCAACAGAAATAATACCTGATTCTTCTAATATTTCTGGAGCAATATACGTTGGAGTTCCACATACAGTGTACATACTCTTTTTCACCACTAAAGCCAGTCCGAAATCAGCAAGTTTGACTCGTATTTGACCGTTTTTCTGTCGTAATAACTTTGATGATAAAGGAAAGATAAAATAACAGGAGCGAATGAGTTTATTCGAATATTTTATTGAACTTAATAATCATTCTACTTCCAATTCCCTGGTAAAATAACGTATAAAAATATTTAACGGTTCGTCATATATATATATATATGTATATATAAGCACACTGCTGAGGAGTTCCATACCAGCATGAAACAGCCGTCCAGTGCTCCTAGTTCTTCAGTAATGGCCTAGCTAAGAAAACTTTGTGATTTAAACTGAGAGAATTCTATGATTTCCACAAATAAACTTCTGTGTTCTTTAGGTCCTAAAAAATATGTGAAATATATGGAATGAAAAACACATAATAGAACAGTTGCTGCATGTGATTTTTAGATAGAGGAAGTAGGTCAAAGTAGTAGTAAGTATCTTTAAACGTTTCACTCGTCGGGTTACCAATAAATAAGAATTCTGAATTTAAAACCGTCAGATTTTTATTCCGAATAATCTTGAGAAGCAAACAAGAAGCGAACGATCTCACCGTCTATTTTCCTCGTATTTATCCCTTCATGATAAAAGACTTCGATTTTTTCAGTAATTCAAGTATTATTTAAGGAATAATCCAAGAATGTATACTTCTAATTTAATAAAATATTACACAGTAATTTTGTGGTTTTTCAAACAATGTTAATTCATGATACAAAGTATCCTGAGTTAAGTATAAAGTTCCAACCCATCCACTTGCTTATTCACTTTCTAAATCATAAGAACTGGACAACTTATGCTATTAGTTTTCGAAGACAAATGGTTCAATAAACGTTTGAAGGTAATTGAAATGAATTAGAGAGGATTGAAAAATAACTAAAATCTTACCAATATGTTTTCAGGTTTTAAATCTCGATGTACAATAGATCGACAATGTAGATAAAATAAAGCACTAGCTAAATCGGATACTATTCCAGCAGCTATTGGTTCAGTGAACTTTGTTGCTTGAGTAATTCCGTCGAACAGATCACCATCCTACAAGAAATGTTTTCAAAAACAAATGAAATAATGCAATCTAAAATATGGATCTATAAATAAGGACAGAATTATCAGATTATGCTAAATAGTTGTAGTAGTACGATAAGTTTGAATAAACAAAAAAGAACAAAACAAACAGTTTACAATCTTCTGTTTTGCTCCCTAACGTTACGAATTTCGTTTGAGTTGTACTGCTTACATAAAGATACTTCGCTGTTAGAAGTTATTTCAGCTATGCAAAGGGATATGATTTTGAAAGTTCGATGTCTTTTCCATAGCTCACTTGAATCAATAACGGAAAAGTTAAACATCCGAGTCAAATAATTTCATTTCATTATCAATGGTAAACTTCAATTTTTATAATTTTATGGTAACACTCGAACACGTAGATAGCATATAAAAATTCTAGAAGAAAAGACTGGTGATGTAATGAAGATTACATAAAAACATTAACAAAGAGGGAGTCAAATTTTAATTTTAGTAACTTAAAGACGTTTAGAAACTTTATAAAACCAAATGAGGGCTTCTCAGCATACGTCCCAAACAATCTACCCATGAATCCTTTAGACATTTGAAGTCATCAGAATCAACTGTAAAAGTCTGACTCAAGTATTCAAAGTGTGTTTCTAACGGCCCACGAATGTATCACCACATTAATAATCCGCATGTTATAAACTTTAGACCTATAGTCCCCTTGTCTTATTTCTTCCCTGCCATATTCTTAATTTGCACATTTATTATCTCTAGTCACATGAGTCTTTTACCTTCATTATCGCAATTACTTTGACAATATTTTGCTTATTGAAAGTTATAATCACACAATTTTGTTATCGTTGTTATCTCGATTAATTCGACGTTAATACATAGCCTGATTATCAAGTTATTGAAAGCAACTGGTCCCTCAAATATCCTTTGTCTTTGTGAAACCGGATGGCGTAGAAAAAAGATCTATCAAAATTGGTTCAGTATACGTAAATTATTTTAAAGAAACGTAATTTACCATGATCTCATTATTAGAAAGTGTTTTACCTGTTATATATTTGTCATTACTAAAATATCATATGTAGGAAAAAAACAAATTATTGTTCTGAGATTATTATTGAATAAATGAAAACATTTTGTATGTTTGCACTTGTGAAACGAAATAACCAGAAACCATTTACAAATACAAGAGGTATTCAATATCAAAATAGTAATATGTTTATTCTATCATAATAATTTCTCGATCTGTTTGCACCATTACGATATTATACGAGATTTCTAGCTACTGTCTTTCCATAAAAGTTAAACAATGATTAGTAATTTCTTAATTATGGTTGTATATATTTTGCTTGACTACATTGGGATTATTTTAATCCTAAATTCGGATGATAATGAGTTTCGATAGGTTATACATTAAAGTGTCAATGTGATTATTCCCTTTGTCTAAACTATAAATTCCATTCTTAACTACAATTACCTCATACACAGGTGACTGATTTATTTTTAAATGACCTACATTCGTACACCGAATGCACAAAAACTTATAAGCTTTATTAATACTAAAACGTTTTGTGAATGAAAACCTGTCTAGAAATCTAGAAATGAATTCTCCACCAGACCACAATAGATTGCTCAAAAGGTAAAATTATCATATAGCCTCAAATAATGAGTTTGAAAAGATAACTTTTAAACGTTCCAAAAAGCAGTAATCTTATTTATCTGTCACATTTTGACCATTCAATCAATTTTCTGTTATCCAGTCAACAAAATATAACATAGAATTAACTAAACTATCAGCTTAAAGGCAGCTGAAACAAATGCAACAAAATAGGATGAATTCATAGGATGCTGTGGACATATTTAATATCAATATGAAATAATGAGAATTTATTTATGAATATCACATAGTTCTGATTATCTTCGTCTTCTTATTACACTATCGAAATTTATCAAAGGGACTAATTACTTTAAATTTTGTAATTGTTTTGTTGAGAATGTTTTGTCAAATGTAATGTAACATCGCTGGAAGTGGATTGGGCACACTTTGAGGAAATCATCCTAATTGTGTCACAAGACAAGCTCTCACATGGAATCCTGAAGGTCATAGGAGAAGAGGAAGACCAGAGAACACATTACGCCGACAGACATGAGAAAAATGAATAAAACCTGAATAGAACTAGAAAAGAAGGCCCAGGACAGAGTGGGTTGGAGAATGCTGGTCGGCGGCCTATGTTCCATTGGGAGTAACAGGCGTAAATAAGTAAGTAAGTAAGTAATGTAACATAATTTTTCACTTACTGTATATTGCTTTTTATTTATTTAAACAAAACTAATGTGAAGAAATAACATTCCCTTCACATAGTGGTTATTTTAATTAATGTCTGATTGTTTTATTTGGTCTCTTGAGAACCTACAATCTATCTCATACCATAAATAATCATTCATCTGTGTAATGTAGCGTAATTGAAGATTATTTAAAAGCTTATAAATATGATATTAAACTCCTGACAGATAGACCACATGACGCCAATATACAGCTAGAGTTTCTACGTATATAAATTAATCTAGATAAGATGTAGACTCACAGGAGAACAATGAAGGTAACAGACTAAAAGACAGAGAGTAAGATAAAGACGAAAGAAGGAAACGCAAATTTTGATGTGATACTATTTAAATGGCTTGAATACAATTTAAATTTTACTTCATAAAATATTTAAATGAAATTGACATCTTATAACCGTGTTTATCTCAAATGACAAAGAAATCTATTGGAGAAAATAGCAGGTTTTTACGAAGAAAAGCAAGAAGCAAAGTCAATATCTATGTTCAAAGCACGAGATATATGAGTTTAGGAATTTTTATCGAGATTTTTGTCGAGGTTTTCAATGGTGATCTAACATTGATCGGTTCATGATCTCAATAAAAACTTGACACTCTCCACAACCCTATACTGAAAATTTAAGAACTGTCAACTGAGTAGGTAGAAAACATTTAGAAACAGATAAAATTATCATTTACTAGATAAAACGATTTAAATGATTTAACCAGTGGGTCACTTTTCTAGTCAATCTCAAGGCTACAAAGAAAGTCACATTAAAATAGTACATTTTCTTCCAAATCTGCTGTACATGATTGTTGCTATGAATTTACGACAGGCATTTTAAAAGTGAATATCAAGTTGATATATTCTGAGATGAAAAAAGAAGTTTTCATTCAGTCGATTTGCATATCTAAAGCATTGTTTAGAGATGTGTATGAACTACGGTCAAAAAGTTCCAACAGAAATCATAACTCATTTAGACATTAATGAATATAGTATCATTCTTATTTTATCCTCATCCCTTAAAATTAACTTGCATTAATTACTCTAACAAAAACCGATATTCTTATTACAATAATCCATTTGTCTACTCTTTATGTACCACTGAATATTAAAAGTAGTGGTTATGGTTATTTGGTTAAAACATTCAATTTTTAGCCATTTTATCACAAACTCATACTCTTCACCGTCTTCTGTAAAACAAAATTATTATCCCTAGATTTATGTTTTCCGTATAAGCATGGACTTTTCTTTTTTGATTCGATTTATGGAATAAAAGATATTATAATATTTTGAAATTCATTTCATAAATGAATTCTGTATATTGAACATATCTTTGTCAGTAGATGGAAATGAGCTGAGTCTAAAGTCACATGTAAAAGTTTCAATAGTTTTATTCCAGTCAATTTGTATGATGAAATACTATTATAAACTTTAGAACTATTGTGCTACATGGATACACAGATCAGAATATAATCCAGAAAGCATTAGAGTGCTTAAATTCTTATGGAGCTGATTATAGTGGGATAATTTTTCCTAAATGAACTACAAAAGATAAGTAACATCATTTCAGCAAAGCATACATTGAAAACTAAGACGGATGTTCCATACCAGTATAAGACGTTTTGGTCGTGTACACTTATAATCAAGAAATGGGTGGATTAGAGAGACTCAAGATCGAAGTCGAACACATCACCTATAGACTACTGGTTGTCGAGCTAAAGTTGATTAGTGATAAAAATCATTTTTGAAGCGAATAATTTCCAAACTTTTTCCATCAGATAGAGCGTTTTATTAACCATCGTATACGAACCATGACTCTAATGAACAGTTATTCAAACTACTCAAGTATACTGTTGTACTTGTTTTGCCATTTCTCCATATATTTATGCTGTCAAATGAGTCCATGTCAAGCATAACCGAATTAGAGTAATAAAATATATGTTTGGATGGTAAAGTTATGAAGTAATTAAATATACCACAAACAAATTTTCTAAGTCAGCTTAGTTTCGCTATGTAAATATGTGCACACGCTTTCGTCGAATGCTTGATAAATGGAAAACTCATGACCCTCTACTGTAGAATTAACGGCTAACACTAGTAGATTTTCAGATCCATGTTCGGTTGAAGTCTGATATATTGTAGATAATACATAAACTTAAGCAAGTATATACGTAATGATGTAATCAACAGACAAATATTATGTCAAATAAACTCATGGAGTTTAATTAATTAGGAGCAATTTAATATCATTTACCAAATCATATAACTTTTCTATTCATAACAAAACTATCTACAATGTTCGTTTAAAGCCTTTTTCATTGGTTCGGTTGTCATTGTTTCCTTACCTTGAATAGTTCCATAATATATTGTGTTATTTCAAAGTACTTCATGTAATGTATTAAAACGATTGTTTTTATTTATGTTTAGTTAATGAACTATAATATGGTTGAACAAATGTACATTAACGTATCTTAATGTGTATCATAAATGATTGAATTACTATCGAATAAATTATAAGTCAACAAAATTTATTTATCATTTAAAAGTGTTAAACTATATTGTCATTTGATTATAAGCAAAGATGGATAGTGGATAACAATGGAATCCAGGACGCACGTCTCAACCTATTTGGGACTTATCAGCTGGATGTACCTGCATCTAAGAGTTGATGTTCATTCTGGAACTCGAACCCAGTACCTTTCACTTCAAACTCCATCGCGTTATCCACTCGGCCACTGAGTTCTGATAGCTACTTGTTTGTGCAATGGGGTGAAGTTTAAATTTACTTAGTATTGTTTGTTTGTCCTAAACATCAATGGGAAGATACAAACAAACAATACTAAGCGAATTTATGTCGTCATTTGATGTTTATACCTAATCAATGTAGCTATATACTGATTGACAACTATAACCTGTGAACGTGGTAAATATAAACTTCTTTGTATATTTATTTCAAGTTATGTATTATTTCTCACGAGATATAAACATATAAAACAACACATAATGATTACAAAAAGGGTAATTTAAACTAACAAGAACTATAAACTGTGAAAAATTTGTCATATACTATATAAAACAAAGTACTCGAATAGATATTATTTCATTTATATGTATAAGACTATGTTTATATTTTCAGATATAAAATCATTGTTTAAACTTTTTCAAAAAAAGTAAACATTGAAAGAAGAAGAAGAAGAAGCAAAAAGAAAAAAAAGAATTAGAGTTATTAGTTGTTTTAAATTATTCATTCAAATTTCAATTTTCATAAGTTATGTAAAGAAAATATAAAAACAAATTTATAAGAACTTTTGTCTAAATTAGAGCGAATAGTTTCACAGTATTTAAGCGCCGAGTTGATGTAAGAAATGAAATAGAAAGAATATATTTGTAAAATTTCAGTGAACGAATTTGAAGTAAATTCAACCTTTCGTCTGGCAATCTAGCCCAAGCTTTTTCAAGGAGATTTTACAAATATATTCCTCCTATTTAATGTCTCACATCAACTTGGCGCCAAAATACTGTGAAACTATTCGCTCTAATTTAGACGAAAGTCCTTGTAAATTGTCATTTACATTCATTTTATTTTATTCATTGAAAAATTATTAAAGTAGATTAACTTAGTATTGTGAATAACAAAAAAAATTCCTATTTTCTTAACATGATCATTTTTTATATTTATCCATCTATTTGTTTATCTAACATATATGATGAACTTCATTAAAATTTAAGAATTAGATCATTCTAGTCATCTGTACTAACTTCTTCACTGTGATAGGGAATCAAGATAATGGAATCACTAATGGATCAATAAAAATCATTCTACAGTACATTATATATTTAAATTAACAACTATATCATATTACATTATTTCGATGGTTACAGTTTGTTTTTATTCATCACTTATATAAAACCAAGGTGAATATCAATTCTGAGATACAGGTACATCCAGCTGACGAGTCCCAAATAGGACGAAACGCGCGTCCTGGATTCCACTACTAGCCACTATCCATCTTAACTTTTAAAGTTATGATTTATTTTATTAACTAATTGATATAGTTATATAAGAATGAATAAATAAATGTAACAATGAGGTATGTAAAGGATTTAAATAAAATTCCTCACATTAATGTATTTTTTATTTCATCTATATTATTCTCTACATTATGAGTTCTCTGAACAAAACACCTGATATGATAGGTATCTTATATTGTCTATATTTATTCTGGTTATTAATCTCACGAATTTATTTAACATATAAATTTTATTCAAGTTAACAATATATACTAGTCAGTTTGACATAGTTTTGTTTTATTTTACCAATGATTGTAAATACACACACTATAATTGTAAACGATATATATTCACCTTAAAATTAGTTCTTATTTTGAACCATTAATTTTGGCTCATAACTGTAAACTCGATGAGAATATATTGAAAAGAATGTTTCTCTTCCAATTAACATATTTTAATATCTTAAGGGTTTCGAGATTGCACAGTTTAAAGTTTGTTTTTATTATAAACAGACTAACATAAACTGAAAGACTGTTTAAAACTTCTAACGAATGAACGATTAGTTCTTACAAGTTTTGAAAGTAATGCCAAATTTATCAGTAGTAATGTCTCATTGAAGAATTTCATCACCTACAGAATGAAACACACCACCAATAGCACTGAACAACGGTAGCGATAGATAGCAAATCGAAAGCATTAAGTGAAAGATCTAGACTTATCTGTCCAAGAGAACTGTGGCTGCTGCTAGACTACGAAATACCATTTTTAAAGGGTTTTTACTAGCTCTAAAAAACATCCAAGTTCCCTTGGATTTTCAGTGGTTTTGCAGTTGGTGCCATTTCAAGATAAAGGCAAACCTTAGACATGCTGTTAAATAGTAATGATTGACCAGTGAAGCCATGTTCTTCTCCCAAAACTCGTACATATTTTCTCACTATTTTACATACGTGCACATTTGTATAAATAGATGTATGAATAAAAGGTAATAAAACTCACTTTTATAAATTCCATAACAAGCCATATTTCACTTGCAGTTTCAAATTCCTCATATAAACGTACAATATTTGGATGACGGCAGTGATGTAATATATGAATTTCATTTAGTAACATAGCTTCTTTACCTGTAAGTTTGCTTTTCTCAATTATTTTCAAAGCATATTGATCATTTGTATCCCGCCTTTTTCCTAGTTTAACAATGGCAAAATTACCATCACCTAGTTTACGACCAATTTGATAACGTTTCGATAAATAATCAGGATCTTTTTATAAAAGAGAAAAAGACAAAGTAATAAAAACAATTGGTTTAACAGTATTAATGTTTAAATCTCTCCAGGTAAGTAGAACTAACTGAAAGTGTTGAATCCCTACTGTTTCATATAGGATCTTTAGTTACTAACTGAAATTTTCTCTTATTGACTGTAAATGCTATCACAAAATAAATATATGTTTTCAACATCCGGATATGTAAATGAGTTAACAGACATATCAAGTATTTGTGTTCCAAGGCACATTTCTGAAAAAGGTAAAACTTTTCGTTTGCTAAACAAATAATACAATTTAAACAATCTTCATTCATCGTACGTTATTTTATTCTGACCAAACTTTCAATTTATACGGTTTTACAAAACATTCATATCCAAGTGCAATCAGAAATAACGGTCAACGTTTACATCATCAATTACCGGACCTCAATGATGTAATTTTATTTCCTTACTATGTAGAAATCTTTTGTGGATTTTTATCGTTTGTTATAGTATCTTTGAACACTTGTTTAAAGTGAAAGGCTATCCTAGCGTAGCGCCGTATACTTAGTCCATCAAACTATTCATTTTAGATACAATGTCTTAAAAATATTGGTTCTATGGTGACACCAAATGGTATCTTCAATAGTTTTTAACATACTAGGGAGTTGATGAATATTTTGTAAAGCCTTGTATGAACTGAGAACTCAATCACAGTTGAGGTTAAAACACCTCATTGACAATCTCAACTCATTCAATGCTCTTCAGTAATAGTAGTGGGAATTTTCTGTTCTAAAAGCTTTATATATCCCGTTCCTTTAAGCATATATGCTGTATGAAACATAGGATACAATGCACATAACATGCATTCCTTCATTTTATTTTGATTTCCGAAGAAATATAACAATTAGTTTGAAATTTATTGTTAACAAAATACAATTTATAAACATTCATGTTATGGGATTTTATTATTCGCCTGGAATATTTAGAACTCCTGGGATACAAAAAGCGTAAGAGTAAGATTTAGGAACTTTAATCCTTAAAGTTGACCATCTTTTTACGTAATTGAAAACAGCAACATGAGGCTCAGTGGCTGAATTAGAGAAGGTGAAATCCTTTTTAAAATTACAAACATTGTAATTTATTATTGCACGAAACAAAGACTGAAAAGTACTTAAAATCTTTAGAAAGGTAAAACGTCTGATTATTTCGATAGGATACGTATTTAAAGTATTTAAGGAAATTTTATTGCTTTGATTATTGTGATTTTATCATATTTTTATGCATTGGAAATTTTTAAACTCTTACAACCAATCACTAAGTCTGTGCCTCCTCACGTAGTAAACATCCAACGGTGAATAACTTTAGAAACTAGTTTAATTTCTGAGGTAACACACATTTTAAAGACTTCACATATATATCCTTGTAGAAACAGCGTAGTTTGCTTCCAATTTTGACTATTCTACCCATCGTTATATAGTTTTAACTAACACAAACGTGTATGATATATGCTTCCTAATGAGCATTCATAAATTTTGGGTGAAGCAGATGACTTATGTAGTTTCTTTAGTTGCAAATTTTATTTATCTTTTCAGATGTCTCCTTGATGTTTGTCAGTAATACTCAATAAATAGCCCGTTTCAAATGTGTGTTAAAGCAAGTTTGCATATCACATCAACAAGGCAAGATGAAGTCAACAAGACTAAGGGACTAAAATAATGGTAGTAACGTTAGTGAGGAAGACTAAATATTGGAGAATACGGTTCAAAAGAACGAATGAATTCAAGAAATACAACGTATGAAATGAAGGTTAGGCTCAATGTTCAGATAAAGATAAGGAACAAAGGCTCCTAAACCTGTGCCACTGACTTCGAGACATATTACGCAACACCACCGGTCACAGACTCATATCAGTCTCCATATTCCAACGCGAATTATTCCATCGGTTAATGATTTCACTGGCTGATGTTGTGCATTAATTTGGCCGCCCTTAGCTTTCTTGCAGCTTATTTCTAATCCCACCAACACTAAATTCTGAGGTATTTCAAAGCTGGGCCTACGTAATAAATGCCCAAACCATCTCGACCGGTAATCTCCAACCTAATGGGTTGGTTTCATTTACGAAGGTTCATGAATTGTTAACAAAGTACAAAGAAAACACTGTAAAATATTCATCTACAATTTTCAGAACAATTCTGTGAGACAGAACAATTTACCCTCACACTTCAACTGATCAAAGTATCTTAAGGTAATAAGTTAGTATACGAGTAAATATTCGTATGATAATTCCAACAATTGCATTTATTGACAATGCAAAGCAATTTTATCGACTCCTACGCTTCAAAAAGTTAACGAATAAACTTAAAATTTTCTATCTTACAAAATATAATCCTTTGTAACTGGCAAAATGTGTAAACTAGTTTTACACTATCTTTAGTTTGTTGATTTTTGTATAAAATTAGGTATAAAAAGGAACAATAATACCATACGTTCATAGTAAATAGAAAATATATACCGTAATTTATTCAGTGTAATGAGAATGTCACAATACATTTTTCCGTATTTATTTATATTCAATGCTAATCATAGTTAAATAAAATACTTGGAATTATGTATAATTGAAGTTCATTGACACAACGAATACTTGATGTTTATTACCATACAATAAACTATTTTGATAACTTAATAACAAAAACATTGAAAAGAACAACACAAAAGCACATAAATTAACAATTTATGTAAAACAACTATTTTTATTTTGAACATCCAATATAAACAAAAGATGGTTAGATTCACATGGTGTTGTTTACTTGTGTCTTCCCATTGTTATTTAGGACCGCAATTGATCAGTCTCTTGTTGGCATATGTGCATCCTGTATGGACTGCCTGGATATTGCCTGAAGTTATATTTTAGACTGTCATTAATCATATAAAATTGCAAATTGATTGAAGTTTGACATGAAACCTATAGGACGACAGATCAGTGGTTTAAAGTTTGGGTGCACGTTACTAGGCCAAAGATTCTAGGTTTAAATCTCATGTATTTGTGGACATGAATTGTTGATTTAACCTATTTTCCCTTGAACAATGTTTATGTTTAAATGATCTGTGAACAAATGAATGATATATAGGCATATGAATATATGATAAATACTGGAAATTTTGGACTGGATATTATTAAATTACCTGAAACATATGTTACTCCAACTGCTGTGTAGACTGATTTCAATTTATCATTATTTGGTTTTTTAAGTCCACTTACTGTAAAACAATTCCCAATTAATTTTTGTTGTGCATCATCAGAAACATCCAGTAGTTTGACAGAAGAGGTATGATTATTATTAGTAGCAGCAGTTGTGATAATGTTATTGGTAACTACATCTGGTGCATTTGAATCCAAATTCTGTTGCGTTGTGATATTTACGTTAGCATTACATCTAGTGATATCATTGTTATTTTCTTTTGGTGTTTGATTTACATCTTTATCATATGTTTTATTCATCGGAAGTTTGGGGGAGTTTTGTTGTGCGTTTAAAACAGCACGTTCAGCGGGCAATGATTTTTCTGTAAGAACAGAGTGATTTTCGAGATTTATCAACAAATAATAATAGAATAAAGTTTCTTTTAAAAAAAGGTATTTATTTGCACTCAATTACTTTGGCTTCAAATGAAGTGATAATTTGAACAATGAAGAAATTCCTGAAGAAATAGCTACTAAAAACAAGTGATCCAGTTTATTCCAATTTTCTTAAATAATTTATATTTTTATAAGTAGAGAAATAGGCTAGTTGATACCATTTATATTAACATTTTATCGGCTGATGATAATTTTATACGGTATTTCGAGAGATAAGGATCGCGTATATATCCATTCCTAGTTGTATGTACATCGAAGTACAAAATTATCTAGTTGTTCAACTAGATTCTATTAGGTAAGATAAAGAGATAAAAGTAGACCGACCTAAGTTTACAGTCTACACAGTTGAATATAGAGTACATGTTGAACTCTAATAAGGAATGAATGAAAAAAAAGGAAGTAGAAACTTCTATGCCATACTATACCTTCATGTAAATAGATTCACAAAAGATAACTTGAAATTGTTAAATAACATTTTATTCTATAATCTATTATCAACTTGACAGTTAAACACACATCATGTTTTACCTTATCTATTGTCTAAATTACTGTTCACGACAAATGAAACAAACAGATAGACTGATAAATTCTCATATATTTACTTATATTTTTAAATTATTCCGTGTTCAAATGTCTAGTCAGAAGTGATAGGTCATTTAAAGTAACTAAATCAGAAACTTTTTAAAAAATTAACTGATATAGATTAGTCATTCTCTGAATTTCATTGTAATGTCTCAACATTAACGAGATGTTATATTTTACTTCTAGATGAGTTGATGTAACAAATTATTATTTTATTAATGAGATTTAAGATTGTAAGTAATTTTTAATCAGTCAAAGTTCCTACAACACATGTATGTGGTACTTTCCTCTTCTCAAGTAAAAACTACAACAGACATATCAAAAATCACTTATATGACCTCAAGAAGTTTTATATATATATCACGAAATTTTATTGAGCTCGATGGTGTAAGCGCTTAGTATTAAAGGTATTAAATTACTCAATATACATATTATTTATATTAAAAGCTTGATCGTAATAAAGATAATACTAACAATGAGATTCCCTCAAATCGCTGACTTTCTGTAAACATTGCAGTAAAGTAAATAAAGATTTTAGAATAGCCTATTTTCTCGCTTTTCACAAATCAATAACATACCTTTCAAAGAACTCAAATACAGTTTCATTTAAGACTATGGTACGGTACTCACATAACTACGGTTATTATATATCTAATTTGAAAACTTTATTCCGCAGTTAGTCGTTTCTGTCTGCGTTGCTCTTCTCTTAATTTTGAAATCGGACGCACAAATGTTCTTTGAAAATAATGGATTTTTATAAAATTACGTAGTTCCACTTATTGAGATACTTTAAAACAGAAGACAGATATTTCGCTTCAAACGTAAATAGGACTATAAATATTTGGAGATAACCGAAGATTTAGTCACATCATGTTATATATTGGATGAGTTTTAGTTTGAATCATATAGTTATATGTTTAGGTTTCCGGCAACTGAAAACAAGTGTTATATCATAAAATAAGTTACAGAGTTCAAGATCTTTATGTATTTTATGTTGTTTTTGCACGAATAATCTAGAAAATCCAACCCAATGTATAATTGTCTAGTGGATTTGTAGTTTACTGTAATATTTGCCTTAGTACTCACTTCTAACATAATTTTGACTGTTTCCTGATTATATATTAGTATTAAGCGTTTACTTGTTATGTCATGTAAATCACTATTCAAGTCTAATTTTACTCATCAAACTTGTATAAAAATATTTTGAGTAATTTCCATTAATTATAACGTTAATTATTTTGAACTGTATTGACATTGACTATTTTGAGTTGTATTTTATCACACTGAACATACAATAGTAACTATAAAACACAATATACATTCTCCATATGTATATATAGTTCTAATAGTAATATATCATAATAAAACTGCTGAGAATAAATATCCTTCTCCTCATGTTACACGTCATTACTTTTAATGTTATCATTATAAATAAATATACTGACTATAATCGTTAGATTATTTTGACCGATATAATTAATTAGAATAGATCGATTGTGGCTATCAGTAAAATTCAGAATGGGCGTTTTGTCCTGTCTGAAATCCACCTGTAGGATGCATCCGCAGCTCAGATTGCGACTTGAACACAGTGACTTTCGTTTCAAAACCAATTAATTGTCTACTGAGCTACCGAGTCTAGATAGCTACTAATTTGTCCGAGACATAATATTTGTATCATTACTAGTAAATGTTTGGGTCATCCTCTTGTTGAAATCCAGGACTACATTTTAAGCAGTCTTCACTCTCATATGTTTATTCCTACTGATTGCCTTGAAATGGTCACTTCATTACGTTATTTAGAATAGTTGGGTTATGCAATATATTATGACCACAAAATAAATTCACTACGCTTAATTCATCGTATAAACACTACAGTTTGACGTTGAAATTTTTCCTTACTAATGCGTATGACAAACACGAGTTTTCAGTAAAGTGTCAATATAAATCATGTCAATTCTAACATCAATAAGTCTGCACATATCGTGTTTATTCATTTATCAATAAGTGCATGAACTTAATAAACTCATATTCGAAATTAACACATTCGTCCAAACCTAAAGGATTCAACTACTTACTTTCAGATGAAATTTCTTTTTGAATCCCAGGAGAGTGATTACTTTTTGTGGCATCCGAAACATTATCCATTTTCTGGAGTTTAGTTTCTATTCGTATGTTGTTATCTTGATCATTAATAATATGATTTTCACGAATTTTGGATTTATCATTGATTAATACTGGTTTGTTAATATCAACTAATGATTTTCCCTTCTCGATGAATCCCTTATTATTGCAGGGATTAGTATTTTCATTTCTTTTTACATTATGATTCGACTGTAATGTCTGATGAGATTGTTTACCAAATGTGATATTACTGAGGTTTCCTTGTGTTTTATTAATGACACTACTCGTGTTACTATCTTTATTTTTAGTAATACCAAATGTATTATTATTAGTAACCGATGTGTTTGTTTTCAGTTGTTGATTTAATTTAAATTGTTGTGCAATGAATGACTGATTTATTAATTTAGAAGAATGTTGTTTTGATTCCCCTGTATGTGGTCCAATCTTATTGATCTGTGCATCATTATTATCAATAGTAGTAGTATATGTACTCATGGTTAATTTCGTTGGATTATTGTTTAGATTTTGGACTTTATCTTCTTGATAGTTAGTTAATTTCGAAAGATTTTTTTCATGGGTTTTAATTTCCAGTGAATTTCTATCGACCACCTGGTGAATCAAAGGAAAAAACGGAAAGATAAAATACACCACAATCTTTTTTCCCTATAACTACAGAAAATACAGAGTAAGTAAATAGTATAGATGTATTGCTTATAAGTTGTTTGTAGATGTTAATGTAATGTACTATGGCAAATTATCATTTTACTAAATCAATATTTCCAAGTTTATCAACCTTGATCAATTTTATTAACCATTTAATCACTATGACATTAATTATTTCCATTAAGTAAGTACAACGATTTGGTTAACACCTAAACTATGCTGATAACTAATTAGAATGAAAATAAATAAACATTTGACGTATATTTGTGTTAACTTCATGAATCATTATTATATGTATCATAATTTTGCTATAGGACGAACAACATGCTCATATCAAATATTATAACTCGCAAATATCAATTACATTAACTACATTACTAAAAAGTGTAGGGTTTATTTTAATAACGGAGGTCTACAGTATTCTGTATCCAGAGATATTTGAATTGACTTCCACTAATGGAGGTGTCCACGTTGAACGCCATCTTTAGACTTAATTTTTATATTCAGAAACATAGATGAAATATACTTTGTAAATTTCCAGGATTTTATTCTACTAGATAAACGAGGTTTCTTTTGTAAATCGTACTCAGTGAAAATACTGATTTTTCAGTCAAATATGTTTTAGTGGAGCGAACGCTAGTTTACTGAATAACTTCTGTATTATTGTGATTCACCTATTTTACATTCATTTAGCCATCGTAAATATAATCGTTTAATTTTATAAAGTCTAAGAACTGTACGTTGTTTTGACAAATATTGCAAACTTTTTTAAAAAAAAGTCGAAGCGTCATATGTATCTCCTACAAATATATAAGTGATTTCTTAATTTAATTCGTGTCAGAAGCATGAATAACAAACATTGTGTTATGAAGTAAATTCACTCATTTGTGTGTGTTCTGGATCCTTTACATAATCAGAAGGAAAGTGACTCACCAACGTAACAATGTGTCTAAAAAGGTGTTTTATTTAACTGATGTAATTTTACAATTTTCCATCTTTTTACAGACATTCCTATCTAAAACTTTTACAAACATTCTTCTCTTTGTTCATCACCTCGCATTTGAATATTTTAATGTCTTCGTCATTCATCATAGTTACGTTTTCATGCCTGTATTATAGTTTTTAATGAAGGTAGCTTAGTTGTTTTCGTTAACATTCAGAAATCTATAAAGCTAGTACCAATTAGTCTTTTAAATATCTGTGTCTTTTATAATTTAAGTTATTATTATTATTTCATTGAAATTATTGTCACCATCCTAAACATTTCACTACTATTTACACAATTGCTATCTATTTTATCATTTTCACTCTCTCACTAATAATTTTGACAGGGTTCTTGTTGCTGATTGCGTCGTAACCTGTCTCTGACTCATTCCATGCACATACTACGAATCAAACGTCCATAATTATGAAAATCATATGTTAGTACTATATATCTGACATCAAATTAGATTTATTACGTATATCATTCATTCAATCAGTGAGGGATTTTAAGCCACACAAAATTAAACATATTTACTTCATTGAGTAATTACACTATTTAGCTAATCGTCTTTTTAGAGCTTACTTGTAATTGTGAATTTTTAGTTAAATCGAGATATTTCTCTGAAAATTCTTTTCATTCAAATGTGAGTGTCAGCTATGTGAATTATTGAAGAGATTGCAAATTACGATCAAAGAACTATCCATACCATCAATAAACACAGGGTGGAAGGTTGTATGTTCACTATTCAAGTAGAACACAGTGTCAATGAATCACTGGACTAGTATCAAATGGTTTATATGTTCCACTTCAGCTGATTTTGTTATATCCTGTGCCAATTCATGAGTGAACAGTATCAACATCTGCATAACTAGGAATGGTTCATCAGCTAACATCATTTTATGATGACACTTTCAAATTACGTGACTATCTTCACACAACCTTATCATTATATTAACTGTTGAACAACTCACTTAAAGACGTACTTCATCCTGACATATAAATAAAATTTAGTTGAGTGAAATTCATATCAATGCAAACGAGTTTTAAATAAATAACTCAAGGAATTATACAGTGTGCGACTTATAGCTATTTACAATTCCACAGGTCACAGCCAATTGGGGAATTAAAAGCAAACTTAACTTTTCATTATTTACTTAGCCAAAATAATTGAAAACCGAGTGAAAGTTGTTCCCATTTATATTAACTGATTGATCAATATTCTGAATGAACATCATAGCAAAAGAAAATTATATCTTTCAGTCGAGTGAAGAAACGATTAGCCATATACATGAAACACCATCTGTGAATTACTTGAACCAAAATTTATAATCAAGGTTATATCATAATTCTTAATCAACTCAGATAAAACTTAATTAGTTTGCTATTTTTTATAAGAAAACACTTAATTAGCAATACATTATTTGTTTCTATTTAATTACTTTATCAACATGGTGATTTTCTGGTAATTTATTTTCTTTCATAGCCAATTCATGACGACGATTTTCAGTTCTTTGAAGAACCCTTTCACCAATCTGTAGACAGTTATGATATCTTGATAATAGTTTACTTAAACTATCAGACTTTTTCAACTGCTGATTTCTATGTTGTTGTTGAAATAGTGAGGTTGACAACAAAAAAGGAGAATGAAAGGGATACGCAGGAATTTGATATGATTTCTGTTGATTTCTTGAAAGATTCTGTTGGTAAACTGAATAATAGAACGGTGAAAAAGATGTAACTGAATTCGCATGAAGTGATGTATTGTTCATATCGTTATTAATGTTATCCGGTTTTAATACTTGAGGTTTTAGTAATCGTTTTGTATTGAAAGTGTTCTCATGTAATTTTATACTGGATTTATTAGTTAATGATAATTCTTCAAAGAATTTTTCTGAATGAAAAAAATTATTCTCCTCTATAGTTGAAGGAGAGGAAGAATCTAGTTTAAAACTGAAAGGGAAAGATACATAAAAGAAATATTATAAGCAAGAAAATAAGATTAAATTAAAGTTACACTCCCATTGGATTCAGATGACACATTCACTTAAATTGATTTAATCAAAATTACTTGATATCAAACATATTGGTTCCTATTTTTTGAAACTGATCATCTGTAAAATTACTGATAAATTCAATTGTGTGATAGTATAATTTCAGCTTGAAAAACAGTAAAATTTGTATAAACAACTATAGAAATAGTCCTGCCTTATTTTGATGTATTAATTTGATTCCGATGATGTAATGAGAAGACGAAGGTTAACAAGATTGTGTTATATTTGCGCAATACATTTCGAACAATCTGGTCCTATATATACTTGTTAACACATTTTATATGAAAAATTAAAGGTCAACTGAACAAATTAAAATGTAGGCAGAAATAAAAACAAACATAACGTACACAAAATAATGTGGAAACCACGCTGTATAATAAATCAGTATTACCAGGGTAGGGTGAGGGTAAGGACAAATTGTTTTTGAACACATAAAGTGGGTTTCAGTTTCCGTATAGCCAAGGCTTCAATAAACCTTAAAATACACCCTTAAATGCTTTTGTATAAAACTGAAAAAGCTGAATTGATATCAACCTTATGACCGGTCTCAACCAACTGTTTCGTAGTGGAGGAAGATGTTTGTCTATCCTATGATCTTATTTGACCATTGTGTGTTCAACCACACTTACTTGCAGATTACGATTGCTGCTCCGTGTTTCAGCACATACATACATACATATGCTGTCTTCTCATTGCATTATCAAAATTTGTCAAGGAAACTAGCTATTAATTTGATTTCTTTTCAGAATTGTAAAATTTGGTCTTAAATCGTACATTTTAACTAATTAATGGTTTCTTAAGATGAATTTTAAGTCGTACAAAAATTTATTGGTAGCATGAAAGTCATTATGAAAGACTGACATTTCAGTTTTCCACTGTCATTTATTTATATTTGAAAACTAAGTCGTAAATTATAGTATACAAATGATGTATTACAATGTAAGAAATTTACAAAATCTTATAGCATACTTTGAATAATTGTGATTTGGTTTGACATATTCAAGATGTTGAGGAGAATTGACTTGTTTTAATAGTTTTGAATGAGATTCTACAGATGATAATTTATTTGATTTATCTTTCATAAAATTAATGGAATTATTTGTGGATAGGATAGATTGCTCTCCATGAATTTGTTCTTCAATTTTGGGTAAAATATTATTGTTAATTGTTAATTCATCAAATCCACTATCTTTTTTCTCATTTTCTATAAATGATTCATTTGATGAATAATTTATATTGGAAATGATATTGTTTGTTTTCAGTGATAATTTTTGTTTTGGTCTTGGAATTTCAAATAATAAATGCTTGTTTACATCAAACTGTTGACTGGTTTTCATTCCAAAACCTCGATTTCGTAAACGACGTTCCCATTGATAAACTACACTGGATGGATCAGGATGATCTGGCCAAAATTCTGATAAAATAGCCTATTAAAATATAAAAATACTTCTAGTAAGATATGAATTTTTCCCACTTCTACAATAATCACGCTTTCTATAAATCCCACAACTCCGTTTTATAGTTTAACGATAGAAAACGAAAAAGTTTACTAACAACTAACAACTTTTAGAAAATGAAAAAGGGACCGTAAAAATAGTTCTTTTCCATTAACGCATCATGGTAGCTTCCAAACAGTATCCATACTTTATAATTATCAACAGAATGAATATCAAGCACATGTAAGGAGTAGGGGAAACTGAAATACGGCAATGGAAGAGTAAAAATCCTACTGTTGTTTTACAGGGTATACATTCATATTGTTCATAAATGACAGTTATTACAGCAAAATTTCCTAAATTTTACTAACCAAAGTTATAAATTAAGCGACAACATCTTATTTCCAGATTTAACGATAGTGAGTAGATCAAACAAAATGTTAAAACAATGTTTGTGCAATGAAATACCAATTGAGTAAGATTTACTTTTAAAGGTTTGTGAAGATCAAATACCAGACCAATTTAGGAAAACATCGCTCATTTGATCTGTTGATATTGATGAAGATAAAGCAAACCTGCTTAGTAAGGACGTATAACTACGACGATTGATAACTTAAAAAGAACCAAGGATGATCAAAACCTCAAATAAGAACAGTCTCTACGAGACCGCATTTTTAAAAATTGTAATACAGTGATGACTATAATCTATTCAACGAAAATATACAGTCAACATACTAATTTTAGTATCATTTAAAATCCTTTAAAAACTCTTTATTAAATCAAATTTAGTGATCATTAACATTATCATCATTTCGTGAATAAGAGATTAAAATAAACAAAATATTATTTTTCATAAATGAAGTTTTAAGTTGAGTAGTAAACAGTGTTGGATTTATCTAGTCCTCATTTAAGTCTAACTGTTGTATATCTATCAAGAAACTTTATTGAGTTATAAGTATGAATGAACGTTTTTACCAATACGCAAACCTATAATGTTCTACATTGTTTATGACTGATTGGATATGCAAAAACAATCAGTACCTGTGTTTATCGTAGCTGATATATTTATCCCAACTTTGCTGTCAACATCGAGTACATTTTTATTATTTACAAATATCGTATAAAAGTTCACAATCAAAAAAGTAGTTTTCATCTATACCAAGTTGACATGTTAGACAGAATTACTTTATCTCCATCTAAGAAATTTATACTACGTTAGATAATTTACTGAACTAATATATCTTCTGGCTGTACAAATAACCTACTTATATATTAATTTGAGGTTTTAATGATAAAATCTTCCAAATACTTTTTTAAAGAACACTTACCACGGGTAGATTTTCTGATCTTTACGCATAGACTCGTGTCATTTAATTAAGTATTTTAACATAGAACGTCTTGCTTTTATTTCTAATCTATATTCCAATGACTATGTTGTCTCACTATATTTTTATAAACTCACGTATACACATACATTTAAGTCATGTGAAATAATTGATTTAATACTGATCTTGCCATTTACGTTTACATGTTACTTCATATGATTCATGCGAAACCTTGAAATCAAATATTATACCAATAATAACAGAGCAATTAACTGTTTTAACTCATTTAAAACGGCTTGCCAATGATAATAATCGACCTTCAGAGATTCATGTTCATAAAAAAGTGAATTTTGGAGTAGAATATAAGTGCTCAATATTGAGCAACATTGGACAATGTGTAGAAGGTAAGGTTACAGTCGTTTCACTTATCGAAATCTCTAATCTGTTTCTCAAAATTATCACCTTCTGTTCCAATTTGTCGTGATCAAACAGATTAGGGATTACTACTGATTAGACGACTAAAGTTAAAATAAGAATAAATCTTTAACCAAATAGTTTTTCGATCTTTATTAAATAATCCCTTTTAGTGGCTCAGTTGTTTCAAGCCAATGTTGAATCAGTATAATGAATAATTCTATTGATATCCAAAACACCCTTAGAATTTGTTTTATAGCTTCTTTTTCTTGGAACTTAACACACATATTGATTAACAGTGTGTTTCAGTTTATGAATGTTAATTATGACTAATCTGTTATTTTATTCACTATCTATAAATGTGCATTACTACTGAAAAAATCCAGAAAAAGTCTACATACACTTTTTGTTTCACATTTTAGAAGAGTGTTTTAAACATAAATATCATCCAAGAAGATATTCGGTAGCTTGAGAATTTAACTCCTATAAGCAATTATAAAATGTGTATATACGTTAGTGTCTTACACACTGAGTTTAGATTTTAAAGAGTGAAATATCTAATTATAAAACAAACCTTTTGACTTCTTTTGTTCTTATTAGTTTCAAGTAAAACTGAGCAATGAAGAAAGATTGTAAAATTGAAAATAAATAAATTTTTTATATTGGCTTGCAATTATATACTGAATGAAGCTCACCATTTAAGTGTACATGTAACTAGAATGTAAATCTTTACCTCAAAACAAGAACTTGATACCTGTCACTTTTAAAAGCTATTACTTACTAACTTTCTTTTAAAAATAACGAAACTCATACATATAATTCCTATTGGTAAAGCATTTACTAAAAAAGCCACTTTCTGTACTAATATAAGCAATTTGTTAGGTCTAATATAAATAAGTTAAAAGAAAACAATGAGTAATCACTAAGTTTTATTTGCTTTTTTGATAGACATAAAGCAGTGCATGATTGAAGTGGATCAAAATGACTCCACAGATATTCATTCACAGAAGTGACTATTTTTCTAGCACGATGTATCGTGAGACTGTCTTTATCGTGACTGATTAGTTGTTATCACTGTGTAATTTATGAATATATGATTTCGTGCAGTGTAACTGTAAGTAAAATCAAATTTCATTTTACGATTGGTTCAGTTATTCTTTGTTTAAAATAAAAGTCATTCGTAATCTGTAATCATGAGTTATTCATCAGCTCATTATGTAATTTACCCATGGATGATTATTTAATTCGTTAATATTAATGAATAAAAATATATATATATTACTAATAAACTGTTGAAACAATGCAGTAGATACTGGTGAGTAACTCATTTACTATTTTCTAATAGAACCACAATTTTAAAATATGGAATCAGTTACCGTGAGGTTAGATATCACCAGAGTAGTAACTATCAAGTTTATTTTCATACATACTGATCTTGAATGTAATTAGTAGTTCTATCAGGAATGTATCGGGACTTAATCTAGTATTTGGGTCTAAAGTTGTTACATAATAAGATTTTGTTTACTTTTAATTTTATACTGAAAACATCGAATAAGATCAATGACAACAATACTTTTTTTAATAGAATTGTTTGGTCTAGATAAAGCAACATATTTAAAGTTCTAAGAACTAAACGCTAAAATATGGATATATTTTAATAGTACATCACCAAACTAAAATTTTTACCAATTTAATTATGGTAACTAATGACTAGGATACCGTTTCGTCCGGAATAATACTTTTAAGAAATGAATTTAATTGAAACACAAGTTTTTCTAAATGAGCTTTGACAGTACTGATGTTTATTCTTATGTTGAAATTAAATGTAAAGAAAGAGAATAATAATTAGTAATTCATGCATTCAGTTATGATGGTATTCAGCATGACAAATTTTAGTAAAGAATATAAGTTCAAAGATATCTGTTAAAATACCCTATCGTTAATCAGTATTTGAAATACAATATTAAAAAAAGACATTTCTTATTAACAGATGTTTTAGCAAGTCGTCTATCGGACTTTGTGAAGGAGCATCGACAACGAATAATCGTGATAACGTCATAATCCAAAAGATTATTATACGAAGTTATGCTGTATAGGCAGGAAACAATATAAGATTCTATTACTTCCCCAGAGGGTGTATAATTGAAAAGAATGTAAAACCGCTTTATTAAGCACGTATTATTATCATTATATAAATGAGCTAAGTTATAAAACATCTTTTCTATACTTTTTTATATTATCTTGAAAACTGAAACAACCGATCTAATATTAGTTAGAATTTAACATCCAAATTTGTATTATTCATTTTTAAAATCTAATAATACTATGAAAACAGTATGGCTTATTATAAAAAAACAACCCGTTGATCAACAAATTGTACTAATAAAGTGTAAGCATAAATAAACATAATTTATGTTATTGTTTTCTGATACTTAAAAAATTCACATATTTTAACAACAATGTACTTAGTAGATTACTTTGGACATAAATTTACCAATCAAAATTCACTGTGGAGTAATTCCCATCACTGACTAATATTAACTGTGGATTTACTAAAAACAAATACGTGTTAGATAAATGTTTTGCCCTACTTTTTAACCCCTCAGTAATTCTCACTTAAAAAACACCCATTTGGTCCGTGCAGGGGTATTACAATGAGTCTGCAATAATAAGGAAACCTTCAGTAGTACGTAAGTCATTCTGGTAAAGATATTTGAGTCACTGGTTCATTACTGCGTATAATTATGGATCTGCACAGTGCTCCCTGCCTTACTCTAAAGTGTAATTTGGTGTCAGTAAATGATGACAGTAACATTTAAATTACGTTTTCGTTTAATACTTTGTCGTTTCATATTAGTTATCAATAAACAAATAAAAACCAAACACGTTACTCAACAGTCCTTCTCATCTAAATGTTTGTTTTATATGAGCATAAACTCCAAAATTACTTCAAAATAAGTTTCAGATGAAACTAGTAGCAAATATTATCTGAATGTATAGTTTCATAGAACATTTAGACAGATGTATTTTTTAAAAACTGCAAAAAGAAACACTGATCACCTAAGTTCGTGGACATATTTAAGAACACTGTTACGTGTAATAGTTTAATAGAAAATAAAGGGAATAATGTGAAACTTTTCAAAAATTATGTTTAATGACGAAACTGTAGCGCATGAAACTGTTGATATAGTATCGAGATACACCTGAAATATATAAAATATTTAAGTTGCATGACCTTTTCATGCCCATTTT